AACAAGCTTTTGATGGTAGAACCTTGCGGGGAATTCTCCGTCTTTTCTCTACTGCAGCACAGTAAATAAAGTTACAAAGCCAGTGTTTACAGTCTGAATTAGAAGCTACCATCTTGTTTGTTTAGGCAAGACTTAAAATGTTCAAACATAAGAAAAGCATTCTCAAAATACAAATACAGAGAGTCCACACACGTTAATGGGTGGAACTTTACGATATCTGATGGGTCAATTATTCTCATTTAACAAGACAAGTGAACAACAGTCTGAAGCGTTAAGGAAAGCAGCACATATATTAGAGTCTGGAAAGCAAATCAACCATGAAAGAAAAACAAAAAGGGATAGAAAACTTGATATAGAAAATTAAGCATGAAAAGACACAAAATACCAAATGATTTTACAGCTATTAATGGTTAATAATATAGAACAAAATTTTAAGGCACTTTGTACAGCCTTGCTGCAGACTCAAAAGGAAGAGAGAATGAGTTCGAGTAGGTCAGGAGTGAGAAACAACACTGGCAACACCCTGAGCCTTCCAAATGTCGTAGAAAAAAGTGAAGCAGGCTGAGTGAAGGTGAGTAAGTCTGCTCTCCTGGGTCTCAGTGGGCCTGGGGCAGATGGGGCCAGTCTAACCTGACTGGGCTTGGGTAGCCAAAGCGGCTGTGTCAGATCTGAGGACAGACTTAAGGGACTTGATGGCTTTTCTAAGCCAACCTCAGCAACACTTCCAACACTCAATCCCAGAACTGCCTGGACTGGAAAAGCCCTTTAAGATCATCGAGTCTAATCATGAACCCAATACTGACAAGTCCCCGACTAACCCATGTCCCTCAGCACTGTGTCTACACGACTCTTCAATCCTTCCAGGGATGGGGACTCCACCACTGCCCTGGGCAACCCCTTCCAATGCCTGAGAACCCTTTCAGCAAAGAAATTCTTCCTCACATCCCATCTCAACTGCCCTTGGTGCAACTTAAGGCCATTTCTTCTTGTCCTGTTACTTGGCATTGATTGAAGAGACCAAATTTCAAAGCTTGATGTCAAGCCTTGGAACACGTCTTACAAGCTTTTTCACATTTTTATCTAGCAGCCTTTGTCTGAGAGTTTTACCTACTCTTAAAACAGGTCAAGCACAAGTTGAATGGGCTGAACAAAGCGGTGACCTGTCCTGTGAGTTTTATAAGTCACATAAACTCTGGAAATGACACCTGGTAACTACTTTGACTGTGGCCTAAGCTTTGCTGTGGTATTACTGATCAAGTACTGCTACCCCCGGGCTGTGGTTTCACCCCAGCTGGAGTCTGAACACTCCCTGAGGCACTGCAGTCATCAGTCTGAAGGTGACAGGACACGATCACTCTGTTATGAGTAGGACCCAAACAGAATTTGAAAGGCCCTGTTGAGCATCACCTCTTTGGCTGACATGCATTTACTGATGTATGATCGTCAATATTCCCTGTTATAAAGTGTGTACAATTAATACTACTAATAATTTACAGATTACACACATGGCTGAGTTTCTCAAGAGTTTCCTCAGCAATTTGAAGAAGCTGGGCTCAATTCACCTCTGGCACTGAGAGGTGTGACATCACTTAGCATTTGCTCACTGAAGCACCAAACTCTGACAATAAAATGCTGTTGTACTCACTCTCTCATTACATGCTGCAAGACACAAAATAAGAAAGGTAACTGCCTGTGTCAGGGATTGCTTACTGCACCTTATCTTACCATAAAATATACTCTGAGAGCAATTCTGTGCTAGTGCTGCCTGCTATGTGATTATTATACACGCTGCCTGAAGATAATGCTTGTGATATTTCAAAAATGATGACATGAAATAGCTCAAGCTGTTTCTTTATTTTCTAAAAATGCCCAGTTTTTCCTTTTACTGAAGAAGAAAAAAAGGAAAAAAGATTATGAGAAAACCTTGTATTCTTCCAAAGCCAAATGAGCTGGTCAGGGAGAATCAGCTGTGTGACAAGTTAATCAACTACAAGCAAGAGTTTGACACTGGAGGTACTTCCTACTGTCAGCTTACATAGAGATAAAGACACAGACTCAGCGTGTCTCCACATCTGATCACTTGCTGGTTACTTATGAATGCTGCATCCTGGCATATATTGAACAGATCTTTGAGGAATTTTGCTCCTGACCAGGAACTGTCATGCAGGTCAGCATCAAAATCAGAGTATACACCATTTCTGAACTGCTCACTGGGGACTCTGAACTCAAACAACTTCCACCTCAGTAGTGTTCCAATAGGTGGTCACAACAGGGCAAAGGAAAGCAGAGCAGCCTGGTCAAGGGGAGTCAAGCACAAAGGGTTGAAGTACACTGGTTAGGACCACTGTCCCAAAAGAAAGAGAACAGAAAAATCAGAAGAAAAGTGTTGACCCAGTGGCCATCTGCAAGAAACAGAAGCCTCTTGTGTCAGTCTACTGGTCTGAATCAAATTCTTGTGAAAAGGCAGTTTGAGACTTTAGCCAAGCTAGTGTCAATTCAGATCAAAGTCAGAGCCTTGGAATGAAATCCATACTCCAAGGATGATTTTATGTTCAATCTCTAACTCTCCTTTCCCTGATCTCCTGCTGGCCCTACCAGACTGAACTCCAGGCTACCTTTGTAGAGCACCCAACTTGTGCTTTCCACAAGTTGCCTGTAGCTGAGCATCTGGCCCACTGAAGGTTACAAGCATGCTATTTTATTTCCCCTCTTGATTTATTTGAACTGCCCTCGTGTAATCCCATTCCTCAACTATAAAAGAGAATGAAACTGTTTATGTGGGTTTATTGGGTGATGTCTGCTTGACAGATGTCTGTACTACAACAGCTGCATACATGTGGTGTCTTTGGCATTTGTGGTCTTTAAAAGCTTTACTTTTATTTCTTTTAACACTTCTGACTTCATAAAAACGAGTATTGTCAGGATAAATTCTGTTCTCTCCAAAATTAATTTATGCTTCAATATCTCTAATTAAAAGAAAAAAGGGAAAAAATACACAACCTCACATATTTCTCAAGGCCTGTTGATTCCTCTCCATCTTTTAAAAGCATCACTTCAACTGGCTTAAGTGAGAAGGACATGAATACACCAAGTTGAGAACTCAGCCACAGACCTTGCCTGTCAGTAACCAGATTTCATAACAGAATGTGCATCTCATGATTATTCAGGGTTTCACCACCTTCCAACACCATCAACTACTCTGCAACAAGGGTTGGGAATGGTTGGGAGCTATCCAGAAAAGAAAGGGCTCTGTGGAAGATACTTTATATAGTCTCGCTTTAGTCACCTATATAACCAATTCCATAGTCACTCTACAGTCCACGGAGGAACAGTTTCTCCTAAAGAGCAATTCAGAGCTTCTCTCTTTAGTGACCAGCCTGTGAACCTCCTAAGTCAACAGGTTAGTATGAACCCTCCGCTATATTTCTTTACCATTCCACAAAGTTTGCTCATGCTACTCCCTTAAAATGACACTCAAGCAAATTAACCTTATTTGGAGCTTTGTCTGATGCAAGTCACTTAAATTTATGACCCTAGTGAAACCTCTATTTCTTCATTGTCATTCACCCAAAAGCTCCAACAGCACTTCCTGCCCTAACCCACAGAATATGCAGGAATTAATCTAGTGTTGCAACACGGCACAATGGGAAGAATATTCTTGCTGTGCATCAGCCAACTTCTTTCATGGCAAATTCAAAAGGGGCAGTTGTTCAGGGTTGAATACACAACTGTGTAACCCAGCCTAGATTTGGCCCTTGGTCTTCATACTGAGCCATCATTATGGGCCAAGTGTTTCAAAACCTCCCTCCCCACCCCAAACCCAAGAGCCTCAGATTAAAAGCGTAGCCCATCTCTTAAGAACATGATCCAACTTTCAAAGGCACCAAGCATTCTGTACAAAGCCAGAGAACCTTAACTTTAGACTCTGGCTTCAAAGATCTTGGCAAAGGCTTTTAAGACTCTCTTTTTTTTTTTTCTCTGAGTCCCATGATGTAAACTTCATGGAATTCAGCTTAGGGATTTGGGGTGAAAGCTTGAAGTGACTCTGCAAATCCTGAGAATCAGGGCACTTCAGGTTTGCTGCTTATATGAACACTAAGCCATGTCTTCTGGTCTTACCAAGACATACATTGCAGTTTAATTATGCACTAAAACTAGGTAAAATAGAGCCCTTTTATTCATGTTTTCCTCCACATCCCCAATTTATATGAACATACTGATAGTCTGAAAAAGTCTTTTTAATACCCTCTTTAAAAGTGTGTTTTATGCTCTTTAACCTATTTGCAGGCTTTTAAGATTCTGCAGGGATCACTACGAGACCTGCCAAAGCTGAACTGGTATTCAGGAGAATACTGTAGCTCCATGTAGAGTTTGAATGAACCTAGAAGACAATTTTCATTCAGGGAACTGATCTAAACAACAAATAATAAAGTCAGCATTGTCGCAATGGGTTTTGTACATGAGAAAGGACTGGAACATATGAGATGACGCTTAGAAAATGTGACCTATTTGGCATCAAGTATCGGGTTTGTGTAACAGCCTTACCTGCCACTGCCAATTGAAGGAAACGCAATTGATTTCAGCTTCTTTTCATCAGCCAGAGCCAAGCAGTTCTTCACCGTCTTTTCCAGCAGCTCCTCGCACTTGTCTGAGCCCCAACCTGGGCTGTTACAGTGGATCACAAATTTTGCAGGCAATCCATGGCCAGCGCTGACAACAGCTAGTAAAAACCGAAAGTGAAACGTCAATGTTTTCCTCTCCGTGGGATTAAAAGAGTGCCTATGTGATTAAAATAGCAAACAACTGACAGACATTCCTTTAGCTCCTCTGAATGTTTCAGATTACAAATCACACAGCCTTAAATATAACAACATGATTACAGAGGCTTTGTATTTTCCATTTCCAGCTGCACTTTGCCGTGGTAATTTATAAATCACAGTTATAATTGATCTTATTTTAGAGAGAGCAAGAATTCACGGCTGACATCAAAGCAAACACATTAATATTGAGGATTTTGCAAACTTGTGTAACGTGTAAGGAAGAAGGCAGTGATCTGTTAGAATGTAAACCTGTTCAAGGGGTGATCTTGCTTTGCTTTGGTTTATTGCAGAGCTACAGTGAACATCAGGATGCTGGAGAGTCGCACCAAGTTATGACTTGTGTGACCTTCAGCTACTTCTGCTAAATACCCAGTTTGTTTAGCTAGCTTCTGGGCACACTGCAGCCCAAGCTAATAGCACTAATTAGTGCTCTGCAAACTGGTAAAGAAGGCTGGAAAAGAGGTGAATTAAGATTTTTTTGCTTTCTTTTCAGCTTTGTTTCTGAGTAATTGTAAAGAAGACATTTTGTGTGATTTCAAGACTTTGGGCCTGGTCTTATTCAGACCTTTTTGTAGATGGGTCATCCACTTAAGACCACTTAAACAACACTGGTTTTAGTTTCTCTCTTCCATCACATTCCTGATGGATGGTTGGAGAGGATGGATTTATAGATTTACAATGTTTGATTCACACTGTTTATATACCAACAGGCAAGGCCTTGTATGTACAAAGAAATGAAGATTTTTTTTACCATGCTAATCGTGTATTATCACCACGATACTACCATGGAGCTGTGGGGACTCAGAGGATGCAGCAGAGACTGCCTAGAAACTACTGCCAGCCAGGGGTTCTCCAGAGAAGAAGCCTTCTCTCAACAGGAGAACACATTCTGGATTCACCACTTCCCATCAAGAGCAACAACAGATTCTGCTCAGCCTGACAGAAAACAGGGTAAGATGATCACTGCCATTGCTGAACTCACAGGTCTGTCCTTTAATTGTCCAAGGCAATTAAAAAGCCTTGTAGCTTTGGTTTGTTACAAAAAAATATTAAATAAAAAATAAAATGGGAAGAAAAATGCCATAATCAGAAGCTGAAGGAAAAAAAAACCCCACCTAGTTGAAATCTCTCAAGAGTATAGACTGAACCTTCACAAAGAGTCAGCCCTCTAACATGCATGCTTTGGGAAATAATCATATGTAGCCACAAAAGTATAAATAGGTATAAAGTGGCAGCTTATGTCTTCAAAAACAATAATAAAAATGCCAATAATAAAAATAAAATCAGGTTTGTAAAGGTGCTTAGAGGCCAGAAATCATCTGGAATTCCATTTTGGAATGTTTATGAGGCATTTTATTATTTAAGTATAGTAGAAATAACTCTTGGAGCACGATCATCACATATGGATACTATCCTGTAACTGCTGTAGGAAATAGAAAATAGACTTTGTCACACTGCATTCTGAGCAGAGGTTAATCAGAAGAACACATTTTGAAGGACAATGGAAGCACCAGCATTGACGTTCTTATGGGTTTGCAGATTCTCAACATGTTGAATAGACTCAGTGTTAGGCAACGTTAATTTGTCATAATGTGCAACTAAAACGTTGGCAGGTTCGGAATACATCATAAATCCAAGCAAAATCTATTAAAAGCAGCTGACATATCTCTAGTCAGATGTGAAATGTGGATAATATCTTCATCCTGAAAGAATAAAACACTCTATTGATACGCATCACTAACTTTAATATTTCTCAGGGAGTGTTTTCTAGGGTAGTCATTAATTCAGTCATTAGGATTCTGTTGAGGACAACTGTTAATTACCAAGAGCAGTTGTCCCCTACTTCAAATGCAAATGCTCTGACAGGGGAAGCTAGTTATGCTTTTGCTGTAGAAACAGAAAAAGAGAACCATGGACACAGTGTGTGCTGGTTACAATTATATTCCAGGTAGAGATCCTGGTTATTGATAGATTAAAAGGAGAGAAAAATCTGAAAACTGGATATCTGTATGGCTGAGAAATTGATGTGTAGCAATTCTTCTCCAGAGTGCTCCAACAAGTCCCTAACAGCCAGTTTCTCCTGGTGTAGTGTAGAGCTCCCCATGGGGTAAGGCTGCCAAGCAGCCCTCAGATCTGAGGGATGCACTGATGGCTGAGTTAAAAAAAATCTCTCCTCTCCAACTTGTAACTTATTTATGAGCAGTTTGGTCTGGGCTGATAGGGAATACTGTAGAGAAGTAAGAAGAAAAAAATGTGACTAATTGATTCTACATATTTTTGCAGAACAAGATTTCCAAGAAAAACTTAATAAAAATTTTAAAAAGCAAGGGAAAAAAAAAACCCAACAAACATATTAAGCACCAGAAGTAAACAGTTGTAATTTTTCCTGTCAGAGCTGAAGTCTTACATCTCCCCTTCAGCTTTAGTTAGAATTCGTTTACAAAACTGTGCACACTGTATTTATTTTTACAGCATAAACACAGATGGCAGAATCAGCCTCCTATATGAACAACATGTATCAGCAATTTCACAGATGGTGTAAAATTACATATTGCCATCACCAAACTTTATTACTCAGAGAGTAGATTTTTCCTCAGATATTACATAAATTTTGATAACTAGGCATCAGAAAGTCATAAGCTTTTATAGTGATGATTTTTGCACTGATTAAACAAAGTACCCAAGCAGATGCTTAACTTTAAGCACGTGCTTAAGTTCAGTGAAAGTCAGTGGCATTGCAGCAAAGGGGATGGTTAATAGAGTTGGACTCAACTGTTCTGAAAAATAAACATCTCATTAATTGCTTTTCTGAACTGTGCCCTTAATAATCATAGAATCATGGAATGGTTTGGGTTGGAAGGGACCTTAAAGATCATCCAGTTCCAACCCCCCTGCCAGCAGCAGGGACACCTTCCACTAGACCAGGTTGCTGAAAGCCTCATCCAGCCTGGCCTTCAACACTTCCAGGGAGGAGCAGCCACAGCTTCTCTGGGCAACCTGTTCCAGTGTCTGACCACCCTCACAGTGAAGAATTTCTTCCTAATATCTAATCTAAACCTCCCCTCTCCCAGTTTAAAGCCATTTCCCCTTGTTTGGTCATTAACTGCCCTTATGAAAAGTCCTTCCCCAGCTTTCTTGTAGCCCCTTCAGGTATTGGAAGGCTGCTATAACCAACTGTACCCGTGAGTAACCTGCTTTTACTCGTCATACTCCATCACTACACCATCGCCCAGACTCTTTGGTGAATGTTACCGAAGATGCAACGTGTATATTTTAACTCTGGGGAATAGAAATATCACTTAACCCATAAAAGTTGGCTGCAGTCAGCATGAATCAAGCTCTGCAGTAGAAGGAGCTCGGCTGGCTGAGTGCAACGACTGTCGCAGAGAGAGAAGCCCGTGCCCGCCGTGTTCTGTTTGGGGTTTTCCGAAGCGCAGAACCTCACCTCCAGCTATGTCCAACGGCCCGTTCTTTTTGCGAAGCTCAATGACAGCTTCCACAAACTCCTTGCCGCCTTTCTTTTCCAAAGTGCTCCCTGAACAGAGAATTGTTATTTTACTCCTCTGATCGCAGGTTTCCACGGCAGACATGTGACTCATCATTATTTTATATTACATCACGCTAGAGTTTTCTGCCCAAACATATTTTTTTTTTTTTAATTTTTTTTTTTTTTTTTTTTGGGGACTGCAAAGTAAGATCTAAACCTTTTGGGACTTCAGAATTAGCTAGTCATTAAAAACAACAACAACAACAACAGAAAGAAAAAAAACCCAAAAAAGACAACCCTAACAACCCAAAAACCTCACATTGGTATCCCTTGCTAACATTCTCAGACTCTGATTTTAATGTCAAAACATCTGACATGACATCCCTACCTCCTTCCTTATCATGAAGCATCTGTTAGTGTGAAATGTTCCAGAAGAAAGGGCTAGTTCAAGAGTGGTTGAAGGTTCATAACTCCTTCCCCTAAGATTCATTTCCCCTCTCTCTTTACAAATTGTTTTAAAGAATTTGAAACTCACCTGATCTTGGTCCCTGACCCCAACAGGTGGCACCAGGAATGAAACAGTCTCGTGAGTGCAGCGGGCTGCTTTACTTGGTAACTGCCCAGCTTGTTGAGCCACCTTTAACCAAGAGGAAGAGCCTCAGAAATAAGGAGAATCTCTAAGGAACATATTCCTCCAATGAAACTTCTCTAACTACAGCTAAGGAGCTGGACAAAGTCATTCTGGGAGGAGAAGAGCTGTGCAGCATTTCAGGGCAACCAAAAGGTATGCTGTTTACAAAGGCAGTCCATCGCTAAATGGTTTAGATCTTATTTTGCAGCTCTAGTTTTAAATATTAATACAAAAAAAAAATAACAGCCCAAGAAAGTATTTTCCTAACTACATAAACATCCCACATAATTTTGTACAGTGCATATTAATTATAAAGGTAGATAAGTAAAAAGCAATGATATCATAAAAGCTCTGATTTGAGATATTACTTTGAAAACCCATTTCCAAAAAATTCAGAATTAGGATCTTTAAAGATCTAGACATTTATTTGGTGAAACCCCTTGCTTTCACTGATGAAGAAAGAAAAAACAATGCATTTTCTGATGGAAGTGCACATACTATATGCTCAAGGAAGCAGAGCCCCTCCTCCAAGATTCAGTTTACTAAACAGTTATAGCTCTAAGGACCTCAAGATGCTTTTGTTTTGACACCATTGCTAAATTTTTTCCAAAACAAAGATTAGAAGTTGAAAACAATGCATTTATTTGTTCATTCAAAAACTGACTCTGTGACCCTGCCTCTACTTTGTTATTGGCAGTTTATTGCTTTTGGGGAACAAAAGCTGAGGACAATTAAGAAATGTATGCCTTTTTTTTTCCCATAACCAATTCACAAGGGGTGTTTGCCAAAAGCTGAACTGTAAGGTCAGACTGTGTAGGTCAGAGCTCTTTGTGCTCAGTTAAGCTTTTTTTATAGAAATACTTTGGTTTAAGTTTATTCAAACTCCTCACTAAACATTTTCTGAAACTCAAAGTTATCTATCTCTGTGCAAATGAGTGGAAGGCACCACTTTACAAATCTCTTAGCTAAGACAGCAATGGCTTTATGTGTAGCAGCAAGGTGTCTTTCCAAGCGTGTTAGGACAGGAGATCCAGTCGAGTTATATTCTTCTTGCATGTATTTCTACACCATTCCTATTTATATTTATACATATTCCAGTTACATTCCCCTTGAGTCCGTGAACTCAGATCAGTCCTAAACCCCATGACATTCATAATCCTTAATTTCTCTTGTTTCAAGGGGAAACATAATTAAGCCTTGTGCAGAACCTAGGAACAGAAAAGATCTATTAAGTAGGTCATTTCTTTTGCCATTGCAAAGCTGTTGTACATTTAATGGAATTTAGCCTAGTTTGGTTTAATTCAATCCAGAAGGATCAGCTTTTTCCCTTCTACTGGGAATTCATTTATAATTAAAAGCAATGAACAACCCTGTCAGTTTATCTCACCAAGCTCTCCTGAGCTCTCTTCTTGCAGATCTGGTACAAAGAAGAACAAAAGTAGTATTTGGTGTGAATCGGTGAGGTTTTTTGGATTTACTCCTCAATTATATTCTTCTTATTAATAGTGAAGGTTTATATTGAAATTACATTTCAGATCTATGTCGTAAATTAGCTTAATCTGGGAAAGGACATAGTGTATTTAACAGTTTTCCACTACATGAGCAAATTTCTTGATGGAAGTCTCGCTTCAGAGCCTCAAGGTTAGTAGCTTATTTGCTCACAGGCATAAATATGTGTCACTCCCATGAGAATAAGATCATTATCTCATGCTTTCCAAGCAGGCATTGGTATCAGTGTCGAAATCAGCGTTAGCATAAATTTAGGCTCTAAAATTCTCAGGATAAGCCCCCAGTACATTTAAAATTGTTAGGGAAAAAAACCAACCAAAATAATAATAATAATAATAATAAAAAAAATTTAGATGGGTAAAAGTTAATCATTGGAAGCTAAGCATTTGTGCACTTCTATTCTTTCTTACAGCAGTCAGAGGCAACAGGAACCTACACTAAGGAATGAGCAGTGCAGCTTTGAGAGATAATTTTCTTTGTAGGGTAGCAAAGCATTTCTTTGTCAAAGGGTGGGAGACAAGCACATTAATTAAACGAGTCTGACAGACTTTAGAAGCACATTCTTCAGATACAGGGTATTATAATACTTTTATTTTAATGTCTCTGCATAACATTTAGCCAGCCAAGTCACAGCTGTTCCTGATCCAACAGGCCATCCAGAGCCACATTCGCCTGCGTGTGACACAGAAAGCAGCCCCTTCAGCAAAGCAGGTGGTGTACCACACGGCAGCTCTGCAGCACGACGCGTGTCCCTCCAAGCCAGTGAAGAAACAGGACCTCAGGCGTGGAGGGAGACCATTTGCATAGCGATGATGAGGTTAAGATGAGATGTAAAACAGAGGCTGGGATCATAGGACTTTTTTTTTTTTTTTAAAGCATGGTGGGTCATCACCCTTATCAGCAACTTCTGTATTCAGCCCAAATTCGGATTTGCCTTCTTAAATTACCAAGGCAGTTCAGTTAAAGTATTGCTACCCTTTTATGAAATCCTTCAAAATGCTGTAGGCAGAATAGGGTATTACTAAGATAAGAGTTACTCAGGAGACACTTAAGATACTGAATTAAGATGTCTGTCATGTTTCCTATTGTGCCTTTTCTCATCAGTGTAGCTTAGATGAGCGACCGCCTGAAAAAACGTACGTAGCATCACTAGCCGTGTGAGGACTGTTGAGCTAGATCCAGCACGTCAGATGTGAACATCTGAAACTTGGCATGGAGAGGGTGTACTGGAACTGGTTAGAAATCTAAAGATCAAGAGTTAAACCATATTCAAGATAGGCATTTCACATGTCAAACAAACAACGTGGGAATTCGTTTTCCTTGGTCACATGCCTGCAGTGAACGTACTGTTCCTGCACTTCAAATTTTGGCGGTGCCTTCTATTGTTACTTCTGAAAGTCTGATTTGGTGATAAGAATAAAAACAAACAAAAAAAAATGCCTACTGAGTTTGCAATTATTCATTTCTTTTTATTATCAGTCAGGACTGCTGGAAGTGAGAAATGAATGCAAATCTGCGTAGCTACAACAAGCTTGTGGCTGCTGATTGACCATGCACACACATACAAACTCCGCAGCACTGAACTTGCCATTACCTACTTCACCACCGATGTAGAAGTCAGAGTTTGTCGGGTGAACGACAGCATCACTGTCGATCGTGGCAATGTCAGCCTGTACAACTTGCAACTACAACAGGTAAACAGATGTATATCAACCACGTTGGACAGAGACCCAGCACAGGCTCTACATTTACACATGTACCAACGTCCATATTTTCCTACCTTTACATCTCCAAACCTTGCGCCAAAGGAGTTGTGTGTGCAGGTGTGTGTAGAGAAAGGGTTGTAGGGAACAGGAGGAGGAATCTTGAGTATGACATGATCAAATAAATGTTAAAATGACAAGTCAGAGCAATCACATGAGATCATTTCCAAAGTTTTTTAAATCAGCTAATACCCCATTTCACTTTGCAGACACCTAGAACAATCAGTTCCCCACAGAGCATGACACTAAAATATGGAATCTGTTTTTTAAAAAAAAAAAGAAATTCAGGATCATCAAGCCAAACAAAATAACTAGTTTCTCCATTTTGTCAGCATCAATAAGCTGACAGGCACTAATCTTCACATGTATAGCGATTCATCATTTTGATTCTAAAAATGACAGTCTCCCTATAGAGGAAACCATGTATTTGCAGGGTTGTAATGAATTTGCTTAAAAAATATAAATGATCTCTCTTACATTTTAAGGATAAGGTATATTTACTAATTATGTGTTGGGATGGTTGAGACACCTGTTAAAATATACACATTTCTTAAAGGCTGATTTAAAAATTAGCCTTCTTAAATATTTTTCTTATTAAATTACATATGTACATTCCCATAGGAAATGAAGTAGTAGAACAATTATGGGTTGTATTCCATTAAGGAATAGGTAAAAAAAAAGGACAACAGCAGGTATAATCAAATAAGAAGGGAAGGCAGGAAATAATATATAAAAGTTAAACTTTTCTTTTGCTGAAGAACAGACTTTTGTTGAAGAAGGATTTTTTTTTTTCAATCTGGAACATGATAGAAGCTTTAAAAGCGATAAACCATCTATGCCAGTATCTACAAGTTGTGTTGGTATAGTGTCAATATTTGTTTTCAGCTCAATGTGAAAGTGACAGGGAGTAATGGAAGTGTAATGGAAACAAATTATTTGACTGAATTAAACATGAAATCAAGGTAGGAAAAACTTGGGGATAGTTAATTATTTCATCATTCCTCTAAAAATTTTATGCCTACTCTGAATATCAAAAAAACCCCTGAGATTGCAGGTAGAATGGAGAAACTGCTTATTTTGAAAACAACCTGACAAAAAAGTATTTTAGTCCTCAAAGTATCCAAATAAGAAACCCCCCAAAATAGCTAACAGTCACATATGATCATTATGGAAAAGAATTTAAATGATTTGTTTAAACTGAAATCAACTTAAAGACTAGCAATAGCTGCAAGAATTCAGATTTGGTGAAAAAATTCTTTGGAATATAGTTCTTCAACAAAATAGAACCTGCAAGATTTGAATTTCTGCTCTTATTAAATAAGTCCTAGAGAGTAAATTCTGGGTTCCATAATTTCCATGTGACCGTTAGTTGTGTCAACCCATGCCCCATTTACCTAGGTCATCTTTAAGGTCAATGTCAGCATTGGTAGGATTGATAATGGCCTCCACCTCGAAGCCGGCTAAATTACTGATTTCACTGTGAATAAGGTTCAGCTGAAAAGAAAAGCATGAGGTGGGAAATAACAGGACAGCTGGGAAATCACAGAGAAGCTGCAGAAAAGTGAGCTTTGCAACACAGATGGAGATAGCATCACTGCAAACAAATATGCAAAATAAAAGGCAGGTCATAAAGGAGGGTTATTATCCAAAAAAAAAAAAAAAAAGGATTCAAACACAAGACTCAAACATTGTTTAAACTGGGAAGACATGAATGTACCTGCTAACAAGCTCTAATTTGGCTTTATGCTGACCACTATTTGGGATTCTTATTTTGGCATTATAATAGGGTATTTGTTTCTCCTCAAAGTATAGATGAAGGACACCCTCATCATTCCTTAAGCATCAATTACAGAGATGTACCACGACTGTCCGGCACTGAAACTGGATAAACTCCTCCTTTAAGGCAGCAAACATGAGCGTATCTTGGAGAAAGCACATACTTGTCTCCAGTGATTCCTCCAGCCTAACGAGGGGACATGTTTCTTGTTCTTTCCTTCTTAGTGCTCACCATATTCTGTATTGCAGACACTTCAGCTTTCATTTGGACAGCTCTGTTGCCTTTGTGCGTGGCTGGTGACGTACAGTGAGCAGGCACCATTATGTGCTTATTGCTTCTAGTTTTTATTTGCTTTACCCTTTTGTCATCTAAGAAAATAGAGATTTTTTTTAACCCCACCTACTAATGCTCATTAACATTCTTGTATTTAAAGCATTGCTGTCTGAATCATGACAAAAATCAGAAGGATTTCTCAAGGTAAGGAAGTCAGCACAGATATCTAGAGATTAACCTCACATCTGCACTACATGTTCTTAAAAAGAATAAATGAAATACGAGGCAGTGCAGATTTCAACTTCTAGCAACACATTTTGAGCAAGACTTACAAACTAGTATATAAAATAAGAAGTCAATGAAAAGACCAGCCATGGTAACAAACTGATCCTGCCATGCCATATTAGGGAGGATGGTTTTTTGGAAGTGCTTAGAAGTCTAATTTCACATGCACCAAGTTTACTACTGCCAAAAGTTAAAATACTTTAGAGTGCAAAAAAAAAAATGTTCCAGACTCTTTCATATGGGGAAATACATTATCTTCAATATGCATTTTAAATGATCATTTCAGTAGCTAATTAGGCAATATGGAAAGCAGCTATGAAAGGGAAAGTTCTGATTCATTTATGCAAGTCCTGAAGCCAGCTGCAGTTAAGCCAGGCTTCCCTTCTAATCCAAAGCCCCTTGGGTTCAACCTATGAAGCAGAACATATACATTCAGGCATGGCAATTAATCTCATCAATAACTGAGTTTTCTCTCTTAGTTTGTAATCCATGTTCTGTAAACTCAACTCTTCAAGTCTTCTCCTTGTGTATGTTAATTTATTAACAGGGACTATGAGCCAATTCATCTAACCAGCACAAGTGAATGAGTCATTTAAGGAGGCCAACATCCATATATTTAAGTTTTATGAAAAAATTATTTCCATTTCATTCATGTGATTATATGAATTGACCTTCTTTCTCTTTTTAAAAGCCTGCAATTTCATCTAATTTGCATATGTTGCTTGAGTAAACTACGTTCCCTCAAAATATGGTGATTTTGGCTAAAAATGAGTGTAACTCAGCCCTGTTTTAAGTATGGGTCTGTTCAGGTATTTGTAATAAAATCTAAGAAAGTTTGCTTTCCAAATAGCTTAGAATCCTTTAATACTTCACACGTGGCGAGTTATTCATACTTGAGTTTGAGTCTTGAGTTTGACTACAAGCAACTGCTGTTTAAAAAAAAAAACCCAAACCAAACTCAAATGAAATCAAACCAAAATGTTAAAGAACCTTTATGAACTTTGAAATAAAAAAAAACAACAACAAAACACATGCACACACCAAAAGACTGTTTTGTGGAGACTTTGGTATGTTCCTAAGCATATTTTGTTCATTTTATAGGTGAATCTCTTTGATTCCTAATTTGGTGTTCTACTATTGGCTGCAGATCATTTTGATTTCAGACCTTTAATCTATTTCTGCACCTACTTGTATATGGGATTTACACAGCAACCAGCTGGTAATGAAAGTTGCAATTTAACAGTAATAACAAAATGCTTAAAAAGCTCTCCATCACTGACAGCATGCGTTGGCAGCTAAGTATTATCTTGCTAAATTTTGCATTTATTGTTCAATGCACTGTTAGGTATCTGATTGCCAAAATGAATTAAAAAAGAAAAAATAAAATTCAAAGTTGTCCCATAGAATTAAATCCTCCAGTGAGGAATTCTTGAGTTTTACTACCTAATAGTATGAAGTACGTATTAGACAGAAGTGATCCCCCTAAAGGGTCACTTTAAAAGAATAAATAGGCACAATTTGTATTTACATGTGCAACAAAGAATGCACATAACTTTAGGTAACATTTAAATTAAATGTTAGTTAGAAAAAATGCAGAGGGCACTTAGCACATCCATGAGTATTTTCTGAGCCAAGCCTTGCATTTCTTATTTCAGACAAAATTACCTTTAAAGTCTTGGAACTTTTTCTGGTATGAGTTTCATAGAGAAAACTGAAGATGCCTGTTGCAGACAACAAGCTTGAGGTCTCTCTGAAAGTCCAAACCCTAAGGCTTAGGCTTGAGGTCTTACAACTCTGCCTCTGCTCTGTAATTGTCTCAGGAAAACAAACTAGTTAATGTGCAGAATACCACGTTCCCATTGGGATGGCACTTGTAGGATGTGCAATCATTTACATATTAACTAGATTTTAATACTTAATTACTGCAGCACTAATACACTTTTACAGGTATAACTGAAGGGTTCAATTTCCTGACTTCTAACAACTTCTAGCTCAATGTCAGCAGTTACCTAAAAATTCAATGCAATAACAGTACTTTTTAAAAACTGAACAATACCCAGTTTTGCAACATTCTCATTTGCATTTTCAGTAATTAAAACTGAGGTTATTAGGAGGATGAAGAACCATTCTTGCAAATAAACCCCTTCCCTTTCCCTTCTGCAAATATGGAGCCAAGAAAAAGCTTTTTCCCATTAAACACGTATGAATTACGTGATAGTAAGAGCAGATTATTTTCTTCCTTCTCTGCATCTCATAAATGATTTCCTGATCTAGCAGATAGTGGTTTTGCAGACCAAAGAGACATCCTGTAAAGGTTTTCAAGGGTGTCACAGGAGGTTCCAAAGACACCAATTGTTTGTTTGGGCTTTTTGGTTCCAGGTTTCTGTGTTTGCACTGCAGTTTATTAAGAACACACAGAACATGAAATTATACTGAAAACAAATTCAAGAAAAATCAAATAACTGTGATTAATACAAATATTTTTGCTTTTCAAATGGAAAAGCTCAAAATGTTTTAACATATTGACCTTTCCTACCATCCATGTGAAGAGTGTAGCTGTGTTTCCATTTCACAAGTGGAGAAGGTAACAGAGAAAGAGGTGATTTACAGTTTCTCTGAATCAGCCAAATCCAGAAGCCAGGAGTCATGAGTCCCAGGCTTCCAGCTGAACCACCTAAACACGCTGCCCTTCCTACCCAAGAGATTCACAGATTTTTCCTTCCTCAAAAGGCTGTTTAAGGAGAGTGAGGCTATGCTGAATAGAAGAAAGGTCCTCCTCCAAACAGGCAAACACCTTCTGCCCTCACCTGCTTTGAAAAAAGCAACATGCACAAGTCTAAGGAATCAAACTACAACACTACTGTCCAGAACTGCTACTGAAGAAAATTATTAGTTCATTATGTTTATAAATACCATGTGGCACTAATTTAAGACCAATATAACAAAACTGATTTTTTTCTGTTAAGTGTCAGACTTAAAATTAGAGAAATATTTTTAAAATCAATATTATCTTTTAAACAGCAATTGCATGTAGAAAGAGCTAAGCAGAAGCATTTAACTGATTCAGAATCACTAGAGTTTTTTTTATAGATAATAGTTATATTTAAGTTGTAAATTTCAAAAATAAATAGCAATTATTTGAGATTTCCACGTGTCACTTAAATAATTAACCACCACCATCAATGAGATTGCAGTCTGCTAAACCTGCATGTAGCAGCAGACATCCTGTCACACCCCGGAGCCTCCTGGCCCAGGCAAAACACACCTCAAGTTTAGGAGAGAGGATGTATTCAACTCCCAGTGATTCCATGACTGGAAGTTTTGCCTTTTTTATCACAAGAATATAAAAATTATTTTAATAATTTTGAAAATAATTTCTGGGGAATGGTCTGAAATTATTTCTAGGAATAATCCTGCATAATACAGGTTTTTTTGGTTGTTTTTATGCTAAGTAAAACCTCTTTGATCAATACAGCACAAAGACTTTTGGCATTTTAAACTTTCCACATTTTCAGTATCAACATGAATGCTTAAAAGAATTAAGGTTGGTCTAAATGTGTTATTTTAGGGGTAAATCAGAACAAAGACATTAATGCATTCTTTATCAGCTCAAACTAGACAAGAATTTCATTTTTAACTCACATGTCATCACAGGACACAGAAAATTCTTGTATTTGTTAGACATACTTTTCTTAGATTTTGACACTAACCATTTACTGCCTCTAAAGACAGTTTCTCACAGGGAATCAAAAGCAAAATATAATCCGTGCTAGCCACATCTCAACAGCACCTATGCATTCTCTACCCCTCAGAAAATAATCCATTTCATTTGGAGTGTTCCCTCACAGGAGACAAATGGGGTTTCATTTTTCTTTTAATTTTTTCTTTTAATTATGTGTACTATATTACAAACAAAGGCTAACACCTGGCCCCTCTCATATGCAGGGCTAACTGACAATGAACCAATATGGGGATGGACATGTCATACCAGTAATTTTTTCAGGGGGCTGCACTCCAAGTGAATGAGAAAGCCAGGAAGTCCATTTCCCAGTACAAGGTACTCACTGGAAAGCTCTACAGCAGACACTGGCTTTACTCAGCACAGCTTAAAGCAGTCCTGGAGTTCATGATTCTCTTCCACTGAGCCCAACAGCAAAGCCATATTGATTTGCTGGGTCAGCCTTGCTGGAACACAACACTACATCTTAATACAGGTTTCCTATGGTAACTAAAAGGAGTTCAAGATCAGGTCCAGAAGTCTGACATTACTTGTTTTCATGAAACAGTAAGGTAGTTTATAAATTTTGGGTTCTAATTTAGTCATCAAAATATTTTTAAAAATATGTTCAAAACCACCCCCTTAGTAGTTGTCAAAACAACCTACCAAACCAGCAATCTAGCCCTAGCCTTAAAGTTAAATGTGGAAAATCAGAAGTCTTGTGAAAAAATAAGGTTACTCTCATGCATGTTAAACTTAGCAAACAAACTGTGGAAGGATAAATGGAGAACAACCTCAGTATGCAATAACAATGAGTCAGAGGAGATACATTCCACAATGGACAATGGCTCATCTTTTATGACTTACAACACAATGATCTGATTACTGAATGATAGAAGAAAGATGCAGTTTTACTGAACAAAATTTTGTATCACGAACTAAAGGCAGGTTTCATGATCAAAGACCGAATTCATTTAATGAATTGTCTCTTTAAATGGATCCTCTCTTTAAGCAGATAGTTTTTGTATTAAACCACCCCATGTTCCAAAACATATTCACAGGGAAAAAAGGATCATTGACTTCTAGCTTTTCATAAAAGCATCATTCATTACTACACAGCATTAACTTCTGTAAATAACAAAGCAGAACAAAACACAAAATCGCCATTATGAACAAATATCTAAAATAGGTTTTGATAAAAACCTCTAAGTCATTTACATCAGCAATGAAGTGGGCTGCCCATTGGAAAAAGACATTTTATTCTTAGATTAATCTCATCTTTGGCAGAAGCTTAGCTGTAATGATTATGCTCTTTATGAATAAGGCGAGACAGATTACAAGCACACAGGCTTTCTTTCCTTCTATTTGAGTTTTTAATTATGTAGCCATATGAAGACTCATTTATTTACTTTTAAAATGTTCTTTAAAACGTTGTTTCAGAGAATTTCGTTGTTGAAAAACTAATATTGTACATCTCCACAAGTGCTCAGTGGGGAAATGTCCATTGTACTTAGACGTTTTGGGGAAAGGGGGGGCATTCCCTAAACAATGCTGAAAATTAAGTATTTATTTATAAAAATGCAGGAGCATACCTTCTGGCCAAGAAACAGACTTTTGGTGGACAGGACTGTGAAACCATCTGCAGGAGTTCCCTCTGTTGTACTGTCAGCACTGGCTGATTTGCTCACTTCTCCCTGTTTCTTCTTCCCAAAAATATAGTTAATTAGTTAACTCAAGGCTGAGAGAAAAACATTGTTTAATAACACTAAGATATATGACATGCCATAAATCCTTACCAGGCAATAAAATGCCAGGACAAACACTAGTGCTTGGATTTTATCCTTTAGTCTGACTAAAGTGACTGATTACAGCTGAAGGAATCAATAGGAAAAGTGATCTCAATGTCTGCATATCTACATAAGCCTTCTCTTGCCTAATTCAGATGACAGTCATCTTAAATGTTGCAAGAAAACATATAAACAACCCCAAACTTGTAACAGCTTTCTAATGGTTTGTGTGGAAAAAGATAATGTATCTATTTTTATGTGTGGGCAGACATTGTTTTTAAGGTAAAAACTGACTTATAGTGCAAATTTTCTCTCTCTATGAAGGGAAATGCTCCTAGATTTCACCAACTTATTTGTAGAAATACTGCTTTGAAATCTGCCCATCCTTAAAGCCAGTGGCAGAAGTTGACATCTACTTTCTACCTGCCTAGTAGTAGCAAATGGGCTGAAATTTTCTCTGTCTTGTTTAATGTGATCTCTTTCATCTTCAGTAAAACTGTAGTTGGTGGAGAGGGAGCTCCCCTCAACTACCATTCCTTTTTTCACCTGTATTACTGAAATAAAATGATAGGTTTCAGGAATGAATTGATTCACTGAATAAGAAATAAGAACTAGGAACATTTTGAAAAGCGTGCTTCATGAAGACAGTGAATTGACTGCTGTGGTTATAAACTCAATTGGTGCCCCAAATAACTTTATATTTTCAATAAAATCACTACTTATGATTTCATATAATATTTGGTGCCTCAGCAATACGTATGCTGAAGGTAAAAAGCACACCTGGAATATTTAGCAAATCACTGTTCTCTTATTGTCCCCTTCCAAAGTATATAAACTAAATCTGTGGCTGAGCAACTCAAATTACTTTGATACAAGGATATATTGGTGCTTCTATAAGCTGTAACCATGCTTTAATTTACACAAATGTTTTGCAACTTAGGTTTTCATGGGTCCTATTTCAATTCCACAGGAGTTTACTGTTAGCCAAATACCAATATAGTAAGCAGACAATACAGTTTATTGTGTGGAAGAAAAACAGAACCCCACAACAGACTTCCTGCTTTTGTAATCAAGGAAGGGAAAAAAAAATGCCAGATTTAGGGAAATTATTAGTGCACGGTTATTAGAACCACTGCACTTGAAATGTCAGCTACTAGGTGTTCTAAGAGAGAAAACTAAATTCAGCAGTTCAAAAACAAAAAAAAAGTAAAACCATCAGAAGAGTGACCATTAAACAGAGACACACAGGATGAATACAGAAGCTTTGTTTGACCTGGAAGGCAACTTTTCACATGCACTGTCCATTTCATGTGAAATTCATGTAGTTTTTTTTTTTTCCCTACTTTCATCATCTATTGCTTGACTGTAGTTGTTTTGCAAAAAATAATAATAATAATAATAATAATAAAAAAAATCCTTGGTTACATGTGCACACGTTAGAAAGATTCCCTACTTCTACAAACTGAGACTCAAAAAGAGAATCAAAAAATGTTCCCCTTAGCTTAAAAAAAAAGAAAAAAAAAAAGAAAAAGATGTTATTCTTAGTTTTCTCACATAAGAAAAATCATATCTTGGTTCTCTTGTTCTTCCCCTCACCTCCACACTTCATTTTGAATCAGTTTAATTAATTACTAGGAATTTAAAAAAACCCAAATCTAAACATGGAAGATTCTCATCTATAAGATATTAAAACCAGAGAGGGACATTTCTGGGTCTCCAGCTCAGCCAAAGAAATTCTGTGTTCCCACAATACGGTTTCTCTGATGCTGTAAGAGACTCAGCTACCTGCTCTAGCAGAATTGCATCCTACTTCTTGAGAAGTATTTCACCCTCTTTGGATTTCATCAAATCAACTAACTAAGAGGAAACTTAAAGCTGGAACAACAACAACAACAACAACTATTTAAAAAACCAACAATTAACATAAAAATACAACAGTTGGAAACAGAACTCTGCCATGCTAATGGCTGGGGATGTTATTGCAATGCAATTGATTTAGGCTGTTGTTGTTCTTCAATCTTTACAATTGCAAAATGCTGCTTTAGTGGGACTTCACTTTTGAAAAAAATACCTGGATCCAGTCTTTCTTGCAGACACCTATCAATAATTGAACAAAGTCCAAGGAAGTTTACTCTGCCTAGCCCAATGCAGGCACCTGCGCAGTCACAGCAAAGCTCCTCCTTCCATTGCTACCGAAGGTCTTGTTTGCTCACCAGTAAGGTGTAACTAGGAGAGATACCCTCTTCTGCCTCCAACCTGTGCCCACCTAACGACTGTTTCGTACAAAGAACAGAGTATTTACAGCCTGCCTGCCTGTCCTGCAGATTTATGCCACTTTGTGAGGGTTTTCAGACTTCCAGCTGCACTAGGGAGAGGGCAGCACTCCTCCTTCAGCATTTCCTTACCCTGCTACTGAAATCCCTGCTGTTAACAACACATGGATCAGAAAGTCTACCCTACATGATGCTCCCCTTACAGCTACTTCTAGCCAACTTGTTTGGGTTTCAAATAAACAGATGACTCTACCTTGGATTTCCTTGCCCCTTTCTTGCCGCCTGTTTTCTTTGATACAGTTTTTTTCTGTGATGGAGACTTTGCCTTCTTTGCAGGAGGTGGAGTGATGATGGCTTCCAGTTTTCCTTTTGATCCCCGCTTCTTTGCCAACAGCTCTGGGTGAATATTGGGTAACACCCCACCACTGGCTATGGTGACCCCTTTCAATAGCTAATAAATTAAAAAAAAAAAATAAAAAATACAGTTGTACATGACAAATTTCAGCATTTACTTCACCAATGAACAGAAAATGCAAACTTTGTACATTGCCTTGAGTTTTAACTGGTTCTTGTACGTTTCCCAACACATTATCCTTGAAGAAGAGAGACATGAAATGTATGAAATGGAGTTGATCATGTACTAGACTTTTACTACAAAGGGAAAGTGTATTCTTCTTGTGCATATGCTTGTGACTGTCAATATCTCTTGGGCTCACACCAGATCTGTTTCTGTGAAGCCATGCAATGAAGACTGTTACCCAGCTACCAGCAAACAGGACAGCCCTAAGCCACAGACATGAGGGCTTTGCAGGGTAGCCTGTGTGAGGGATGGGACCCCAAAGCCCATCTGCAACCTCTGGAGGACACAATATATGTCCCAATTGCTGAATTTTCTTGGAAGTGCATTTTTAAAACAGAATGTTTTTCTTAGAAAAAGAAACTTCAAATGGAGGGTAACATTTATACAAATCTCTATACCTGGAAGTCTTTCTTCAAAAAAAATCTTTAGGTAGTTGAAGAAAAGCAGATCAATATTCAAAAGTGTGCAGTTCATTCAAGCCTTTAAAAGCAGAGGTGAAATATATCATGTTCTGTATTTAAAACCACTTTAACCCATTTTTCTTTTTTTTATAGATCTAACTAGGACTAATTCACTATTTGGGAGAGTACAAACGATGTCATCAAAGTCCCTCAGGTACTCCCACCTTCTGATTTGTGTTTACTGCTCCCCAACCACAACTCAGCGAGGCTCCAAGCTTACAAAGGGCTGGTGAATGGAGAGTATTATCAGATTTCAGACAAAGACAGAAGGAGGTTGGTTTAGGGATATATATATATATATATATATT